AAAGTGAAATTAAGAAGACTAGGAAAAATGTCTAATTATGGGATGACTTACTTTTAACTTGTGCCTAGGGCCTTGGTGGATGAAAAGTATATACATCACTATGTATATTATGTGTCAATAAACATGAAATACCAGTGAAAATTTGAAAATGACACAAAACCACAGTATTTCAATGAAATTTTAACAGAGTCAAAAATTGCATGCCTCTACAACTAGCTACACTCAAGTCTTGCCAAAGGAGCAGATTTTTAAAAAAAAATGAGAAATTTATATAGCCCCACAATTTCACAAACAGACTACTATGATATGTAGCTTATCTGAATATTGACAGTGATATTTTTGAGTTGCCTTTGGATTTGTGGATGCTTATACTTGTGGTGATAGCAAAACCTAAAATAAAATTTTTAAAAATGTCCTGAACACAGAGTAGTTAGCAATAAAATATGCCCAGAAGATAGTATTACCTAAGATATAAATTTTAGGTTCATATTGTTAGCCATATTCTGTTCAACATTTTTATCAAATTATAGACAATATAGCCGTGATATATCATTGTCAAAAACAATTTATAGAATAAACTCTTTATTTTGCATACAGGTTATAGAGGGAATCTCCATAATGGTGGGAACATATTTCAGCAGATCCTGAGAGAGCAAAGAAAAGGAGTGAACCATTTAGGGTAAGAGGATAAACTCCCATTCCTACCCTCAATGACTACTTCTAACAAAATTCTACATCCGAAAAATCTCATAAATTCCACAGAGTGACACCAACATGGGGACAAAGTTTCTGTACTTTCTTAATTTAAACTTCATGAATCAATGAACTCCATTCATGAATCAATGGAGAACAGTCTTCTTTCAAAAGGCTCACCATCAATTGGGAAAGAAGAAAATGTGCTGAATCATTGCAAATATTTTATAAGATTTAGGAAAAATTACAAACAAATGGAACTATTTTTGTAGCAATGTTAGAATGAAAATATCTAAATAATTACTTGCTATTGTCCTAGTTAAATCAGATTTTAAAAATGGCAATAATCATTTATTACAATGTTCCTGATACAAACATTACAATCACAATCACACAGATCTCTGGTCCATCATTTTTCACACTCCTTTAATAGCTCTTAGTATGCAAATGTCTGGTTAGTTTCGGAATACTTTGTTTTATATGCTTATGTTTGTTGGATGTTTTACTCATGATGTGTGTTCTTGTTAAGATTGGCACCTGAAGTGCTTGACCTTTTAATTTGTCATATTTTTACTGTTGCTATAAATTTATGGCTATAAAACTGACATTTAGACCATTGGTTTATATTTTACACTAATTATTTTTCTCTTTACTTTTGTGACACATTGAGGCTATCTATTTCAAGTTGTGTTGGAGCAATCTAATTTTCATTTTAATTTTCATAAGATTAATAAATCTTACTTATTCCTAGCATAGGAATGGACTTTGGGAGACAATTCCACATTAAGGGATACTCCCTGAGCCAAGACACACTAAGGTGGGCCTAGGCCCTATCCCAAAGGATATGATAGACTCTTATGAGCCCCTGTGGAAGGCCTCACCCTCTCTGGGGAGAAGAAAGGATATGTGATAGGTAGGGTTTTAGTTTGGGGGGTGGTAGGGGAGCAAGGGAGGGGGAGGTAACTGGGATTGACATGTAAAACAATCTTGCTTCTAATTCAAATAAAAAAATCTGCAAAAACAAACAAACAAAAAAACCATAGAGTTCAGTCTATGTTCGCCAATTAATCTCAAGCTTGAGGTATGCTCTGAAGTTGTTTTGATGTATTCAGTAACTATTCACTGCAAAAAAATAAATAAATAAATAAAACTTCTTGGTTAAAGATCGGACATGTGCCCACTTCCTTTTCTACCTTTTGGGATTTTGTCTGTCTTGAGTCTAAGGAGGTCTTTCAGAGTTTCTTTTGGTTAATGTATGCATGGGAACTGTTGTGTCTGGTAAATGCTATTTCCATGAAATTCTGATATAATTTTTATCCCCTCTACTGCATAGATCACTGAGCACCAAGGAGAATATTTTATAAGTCCCTCCATTTATGACTGAGTGTCTAAAATCTCTCACTCTCTGCACATTATCATATTGTGGTTCTCTATGATAGCACTACAGAATGACAAGGGCTTAATTATTCATTGATGCAGGAGTATAAATGCATTTCATTAAGAGTCACTTTATTTTTATGTTCTTTTAGCACAATAATAGTAGTGGTTCCCCCCATCCCACCCATGACTTCTCTAGCCTTGTGTTCTTGTATTCTTTCAGTGATAGGTCTATTTTACTGCAAAGAAGTCTGGCTACAGACATTTATTTCTGTTTCTATATGTTAGAAATCTACCCCAATTTAACTGTAATTTCTACATAGAATTTCAAAAGTGAAAATTAATATGTTTGAAAATTAAGAGTACTATTGTTGATACCTGACTTTTTCACATATGGAACTTTGTGTCTTCACTCAAGGAGGCTGTTAAAAAGGCTTCTTTTCTCATTGCTGTGAGGAGTTCAACATTTTCTTGACAGTGATGGGCTATATCTGCTTTTGTTCTCAAGGCTGCTTGTAAAGTTAGGCAATAACATTCTATAGCCTGACTGGCAATTTCTTGAAAATTAGCAAAACTCTCAGTCTCTTAAAGTAGAGTATTGACACAACAACCCTTATCTAGATTTCAAATTCATTGCTTCAGTTTCCAGCAGTTCTAAATAATCTATTGAAAATTTTCAGAAAAAAAACAGTACCTACATACTTACATTGCACACTATTCTGAATAGCAGGATGGCATGACATCTCTCCTCATCATAGCCAAGAAACTGATGTCATGAACTGCATGACAACCAACTGCATGACAAAGTTCCAGCATTTCAACCTTGTGGATAACAATTCTCCAGCACCCTTATACTTACATCTTTAGTGTTGCTCACTATGTACTATGGGAGATTTCTTGTGCACTTTCTTTTAGGTAATGTTGTGCAGGCTGTTTATCCTACTGGTTGAGAATAATGTCACTATCACAATTTATTCATTTATTTATTTACATTATTTATTTATTTATTTATTTATTTATTTATTTTTAAAGATTTTCTTTTTTATGTGTACAGTCTTCTGTCTGCATGCCAGCAGAGGGCACCGGATCTCATCCAGGGTGGTTGTGAGCCACCATGTGGTTGCCGGGAATTGAACTCAAGACCTCTGGAAGAACAGTCACTGCTCTTAACCTCTGAGCCATCTCTCCAGCACCCACTATTACAATTTAAACTTGAAGCAAGCTTGAATTAAATATGGGCCAGGTGGATAGAGTCTGGCCAAGTCCATACTCAGGTTTTTAGGAAATGACCCAGAATCAAATTTTGTAAGGTCTTAAGATGGAAAATCTTAAACTGCATTTCCCATCAGTTCCAATCCCGGCAAGCATACATCCTGATGCCTAGGTACCCCCTGCCTGCATGTGATTAAGCATACTCAGTGCAGATGGGTGAAACAAACATGTTTAGGGAAGTGAAAACATGTAACATTTTATTTCCCATGAACAAGCCTCCAGCATTTTAGAAACTGTGTGTCCTTGACCGAGAGGCTTATAGAAGAGATGCATTTTATTTCATTGATCTCTTTGGTATAGTAATCAAAACTTAAAATGTAGCTTTGGTTCTCACAGGTTTTGAACGATGTAAATGTATACAATGGCAATCTTTTTTTTAATTTTCTTTTATTAGTTCAAATTAGGAACAAGCTTGTTTCACATGTCAATCCCTTCTCCCTCTCCTACCCATCAACCCCACCTCTCCTCCCACACCCCTGACCTACCCCCCACCCCATCCACCCACCACTCCCCAGGCAGAGTAGGGCCCTCAATGGGGGCTCTGCAAAGTCCACCACATCAGCCTGGGCTGGGCCTAGGCCCTTCCCCATGTGTCCAGGGCAAGAGTGCATCCCTTCATGTGGGATGGGCTCTCAAAGTCCCTTCTTACACCAGGGAAAAATACTAATCCACTACCAGGGGCCCCCTAGACTTCAGAGGCCTCCTCATTGACATCCATGTTCAGGGGTCTGGGACAGTCCTATACTCGCTTCCCAGACAGCATCTGGGGTTGATGTGCTCCCCCTCCCCCTTGTTCAGGCCAGCTGTTTCTGTGGGTTTCTACAACTGGGAACTGACCCCTTCGATCTTCATTCCTCTCTCTCTGCAACTAAGTTCCAGAGTTCAGTTCAGTGTATATCTGTGGATGTCTGCCTCTGCTTCCATCAGCCACTGGATGAGGGCTCTAGGTTGGCATAAAAAGTAGTCATCAATCTCATTTCAGGGGAAAGGCATTTTGGTTATCCTCTGCACCATTGCCTAGATTGTCAGTTCTTGTCATCCTTGTAGGTGTCTAGAAATCTCCCTAGTGCCAGATATCTCCTGGGACCTATAATGGCTCCCTCTGATATGGTATCTCTCATCCTGCTCTCCTCTATTCTTCTCCCAACTCAATATTTCTGCTCCTCCATTTCCTACTCTCCTCTCCTCTTCTCCTGCTCTCATTCTGGCAGCTCTCTCTCCCCTACCCTCATTCTCCCAATTAGCTCAGGAGTTCCTGCCGCTTCCCATATTCAGCAGAAAAAAAGCAATGGAATCTTGAAATTCGCAGGCAAATGGATGGAACTAGAAGAAACAATCCTGAGTGAGGTAACCCAGTCACAAAAAGACAAACATGGTATGTACTCACTGATATATGAATTTTAGACATAGAGCAAAGGATTACCAGCCTATAATCCTCTTTACCAAAGACACTAGGAAACATGAAAGACTCTAAGGGATAAATGCATGGACCCCTACAATGGCAGTCTTATAAAACAAAATAATTCTTTGAAAAAAATTCCCAACACCATGGAACCACATAGTGTGATCACTCTGCCTACTCACACACAAGTTGACACCAAGCTTCTATAAAATTTGCTTGATAATCAAGATTTATAAATTCCCAAGGTCTACTCAGCTCAGGTTCATAGTAATATTGTCAAGCTTTGTCTTTGCTCTCTTCAAGCTCTAGCTATTTGGATAAACTAAGCCATATGGAAAAAAAAAAGAAGAAAAAAGAAAAAGAAAAAAACAAAAACAAACAAACAAAAAAAAACAAACCCAAACCCCAAAACAACAACAACAAAAACCAAAACCTGCAATTTTCTATAATGAAGGTTTGATCCCCAAGAATGTCCTTTGCCAAGAATGTCCTTTGCCAAGGTCAGGCAAATAGACAAAAGTTCCCATTTCCTCAGGGACTTAAAGTTCCTGCAACCTTAAAAGGGAGATATTCCTATCTCTGGCATGGAGAACTTGTGGCCCTTTCATTAACATATGACTGAAGCCTATAAACTTCTCAAGCTCAATGTTAGGTTTCTGAATCCCTGTTCAGAAGCCACCTTGCAGTTCATATGTCCCTTACTCCCATTTAATCCTTGTGCAATTGTGAACTACAAAAGATGTAGACTTTTTTTTTTTCTTCAATAAATGGCAGCCATCTCTGTTTACCCTCAGATCATGTCAGTCTCCATTCTCTGGCTGATTCCACACATCCTCTCTGGGATCGGAACTCCAGTGATGTGAACTCCAGAATGTTGGCACCACCGGAACAAGCTCCTGAGGAGGTAAGCCTCTTGATTTTGTCATGTGGACAGGACTTCACATTGGGATGAGTTGAGTCACAGTCAATGCTGGTAAACATTTAAAGAGGATGAGGGAATGCTAGTGGAAACTTTTTCTCTCTGGAATGTGGTAATACAGGCCCTTGACACTAAACTGGAAATTCCAACACTACCTTCAGCACCACCACCACATGAAGGGATACTTTCATTAAAATGTCATGAATCACCCTGCCTTCCAGTGCCCTGCTCACAGCCTCCTGAGGCCTGGTGACTGTGCACTGGGGAACCCATCCTGGTTGACCAGCCCATCTAGAGTGTGCCAATATTGCAGTTCAAGTCCTATGTCCAACCACAGGAGAAGGCGGCATGGGCTTGTTTCATGCCCAACTTCCTGTGCCCTGCTTGGAGCCTCCTGAGGACTGGGGACTGCGCATGGGGGACCCATACCAGTAGACTAGACCATCCAGAGTCTGACAGTGTCACAATACTAGTCTCGTCTCCACCTACAGGAAGAGGAGAGCCAATGGAGTATTGGACTTGTTTGCACCCACCAGAAAAGAACCTTGGTCTCCTACCCAACAGGAGAGGGAGAGACTCCAGCAGTCCCCACTGGAAGAAGTGAAGGGAATATAACAGTATAAGAACACAGTCAAAAACACAAAGATCAATATGATGCCACCAGAGTCTAGGGACTCCACATGAGCAAGAACTGAACATCCCAATACAGATGAAGCAGAAGAGAAAGAAAAAGAGGTAATGAGAAAATCCCTTAAAGAAATGGAAGAAAAAACAAACAAAAAAGAAACCCACCTCAAAGATGCAGAAAATATATGCAGCAAAATCATAGAAGAAAACTTTCCCAACCTAATGAAAGACATGCCAATGAAAGTACAAGAAGCTTACAGAACACCAAATAAAGTAGACATCCCCTTGACACATAATAATCAAAACACCATGGACACAACTTAAATCCAAATGCATCAAAGACCTCAACATAAATCCAGCCACACTGAACTTCTTAGAAGAGAAAGTGGGAGGTACCCTTGAAAAAAATCTTACAGGAGACCACCTCCCAAATATAATACCAGTACCTCAGACACTTAGACCACCAGTTAATAAATGGGTCTTCCTGAAACTGAGAAACTTCTATAAAGCAAAGGACACAGTAAACAAGATGAAGTGGCAGCCCACAGAATGGGAAAAGATACTCACCAACCCCACATCTGAGAGACGGTTGATTTCCAAAATATATAAAGAATTCAAGAAGCTAGTCACCAAAACTCCAAATAAGGTAATTAAAAAGTAGGTTAGAGAACTAAATAGAGAATTCTCAACAGAGGAATCTAACATGTCTGAAAGATATTTAAGAAAGTGCTTAACATCCTTAGCCATCAGGGAAATGCAAATCAAAACAACTCTGAGATACCATCTTGTTCCTGTCAGAATGGCTAAAATAAAAACATCAATGACAGTCTATGCTGGAGAGGATGTGGAGAAAGAGGAACACTCCTCCACTGCTGGTGAGAGTGCAAACTCAGTAAAACCATTTTGGAAATCAGTATTTGTGTTCCTCAGGAAAATGGGAATCAGTCTACCTCAAGATCCAGCAATTCCATTGGCTACTCCCACAAATTCTGTGTCATTATTGCACCAGCAGGACAGATTGTAGGCCAAGTGCAGAGAAATTTCCTTAAAATCAGGAACAAGAATAAGTGGTCTGATCTTTCCACATGTCTTCAATATAGTACTTGAAGTTTTACCTGGAGCAATAAGAAAACTAAAGGAACTCAAGGGGTCTCCTTAGTAATGGCATGCGGGGAAGGATATCCATTTGTAAAGGAAAAGTGAAAGTGTCATTCTTTGTAAATGATATGATAGCATATATAAATGACCCTAAAAATTTTATGGGGGAACTCCTGCATCTGATAAACACTTTCAGCAACATTCCTGGATAATAAGTTAACTCAAAAAAAAAAAAATCAGTAGCCAACCTATGTACAAATGAGAGACTGAGGAAAAATCAGTGAAATAATACCTTTCAAAATAGCCTGAAATATTATAAAATATCATGGGGTAACACTAACCAATAAAGGGAAAGACCAATATAATAAACTTCAAGTATTTGAAGAAAGAAATTGAAGAAGATATCAGAAGCTCAAATATCTCCCATCCTTGTAGATGAGGAAAAAAAGATACCCTGCCAAAAACAATCTTCATATTGAATGCAATCCCCATCAAAATTTCAACACAATTCTTCATCAACCAAGAAAAAACAATTCTTAGCTTCATATTGAAAAACAAAAAAACATCTGAGGACTATTCCTGAACAACAAAATAACTGCTGGGATTCTCCTCATTCCTCATTTCAAGTTATACTACAGAACTATAGAAATAAAACCACATGGCACTGATATCTTAAAAAAAAAAAAAACATGGATCATTGCAATTGAATTGAAGACCCAGACACAAATCTTTATTTTGATAAAGAAACCATAAATACACACTGGAAAAGAAGTTAGTCTCTTTAAGGAATAGTGCTGTTCTACCTGATTGTCTGTATGTAGAATAATAAAAATAGATCCTTATTTATCAACCTACAAAACACTCAAGTCCAAGTAGTTCAAAAACATCAACATAAAACATTGAACCTGGTAGAAGAGAAAGTGAGTAATAGTCTTGAAAACATAGACTCAGGACAAGACTTTCTGAACAGAACACTATTAAGACAGGCATTAAGATTAACAATTAATAAATAGGATCTCATGAAAATGAAAGCTTCTGTAAGGCAAAGGACACTATCATTCTGATAAGAGGGCAGCCTACAAAAATGGGAAAAGATTTTCATTAACCCCAAATTTGAAGACTAGTATCCAAATATATAACATTTATATAACATTGGAGATCCAACTGCTAATGAATATCTAGGCTAGTTATAGTTTCTATGCATATTGTATAAATAAGAAATGTGGATATGAATATTTCTCTGTAATATGTTGATATAATTTCCTTTTGGAACACCAAGCCTGGGATGCCATATGATAATAAAATAATCTTAATTTGGGATTGTTTACATAGATTCATATACATCTTAACAGTATAAGGAGAAACCTACATTTCTATCATATTATGAGAGATAATGTTTTCACTACTCTGCAGTAGTTAGTATTTAATATCATCACAATTTTTCCTTTTCACTATGGTATAAAGAAATCCTATTGTATCTTTGCTTTGGGTTTCCCTGAGGACTAAGGATGTTGGGCACTTTAAAAATATATTTTTGACATTTATTCTTCATTTGAGCAGCACATCTTCAGTGCCTTTGTGCATTCATGGATTGGAAAGCTTTTATAGTGCTTGAGGTTTTAGTATTTGATATATTCTAAATATTAATATATTGTCTGATGTACAGCTGACAAAGGTCGTCTATCATTTTCTAGTCTTCTTGTTCTATAATGCTATTGTTTATTTGTTGTGCTTAAGTTTTGAATTTCATACTCATTATTGCTTTTTTATGGTACTGGAAAATGTTTCTCTGTGCTGTATTATGTTTTTCTCATTCCCAAAAGGCTAAAAGCATACCTACCAAATAACCATGCTGTAGGATTCCTTGATGAATATCCAAATGATTCAGCATTCTACTCTAGACAGTTTCTCAGCCATATCAGTGGCCACCATGTTCACAATAGCTAGTAAATGGGAGAAATCTAAATAATCCTCACCTGATTAACAGATAATGATAATGTGCTATATTTTCACAATGGGGTACTTTTCATGTGTAAAGATAAATGAAATCATGAAATTTTGAAGTAAATTGGTAAAACTCAAATGATTCTGAATAAGTGAGTTAGCCCAGACACAGAAAGACAAATAACAAATAGTTTCCCTTATTTGTGGATCCTAGTTACAAATCTGTAGAAGTGAACATATAACTTGAAGCAACTGCAGTACCCAGTAAATTAAAAATGGACCATCTTTTCTTAGATAGGGACTGCAGCTCATATCCCTTATAATTTCAAGTGTATATGTAAATACATAAATATATAATATTGCAATAGGCATGAAATATAGTCAGTGAATAACATTCATCACAATGGGAAGCATTACTTATTTAATTTGAAGTGTAGAATATTTTTTTAAATCTACATGTTTAGAAAGAGCAAACTTAATAAAGGCTTTTAAAATATATCTAAAATCACTACATACTCCCATAATTTTATTAGGAAATCCATACAGACAGAAATGGTTGCTCAGTATATGTTGACAGAATCAATATAATTTTACATCTAACAAATTCATAGGAGCATTGATTTTCATTCAGTTAAACCACTGCAACACTGTATATAAACTAGTCTCTTAAGCTCAGTAAGACTCTATGTACTGTGCCTTTAAAAGCAATTTACATAGATTTTCAAAGTTTTTGCTCTTTATGTAACAATGATTTTGCTGTTCATTTACCTAGAAATCTTGTTGGAAACTCTTTTTGTTTCACCATTGCTGGGAGAAACAGAACAATGTGATAGATTCTGTCATCAATGCTGTCAAATATGGAATCCTTAAGCACACCAATGCTGTTCAGTGTGTTGAAGAACAAGGACATGTGGTCTTTTTAGTACTTGATGCAGATATTGAAAGGTTAACAATTAGTCATCAAAATGTCAAACTATCTTCTTTAAATCCTTAACTTCTTTAAATAAAATTCAAGTGTAACATGAAAATTTGGACATTCATGGCAAGTACTTCTCACCTCTTAATAAAGCTGAGTCACTACCAAGGCCATCAGCCTCTGTTGGACCCAACATGCTTGACATTCATTGACATTCTTCAACATCTTCATTTTCAGTATTTCTGGATGCCTAAGACTGATCAACAATATCTGAGTTATCACAATGTGCTTTGCTGTAAAGTTTCTTATTTCTATCCACTGTGGAAGAGTTTATTTTCTAAACCAGAGACATGAAAAATACTGGTAAAATATAGACAAAACCCTTTATACAATATACTTTAGGAAATGTAGGGGGTTTCTTCACAATATTTAACAACACTTGCCCTGGAAATTTGGCTTTTCTGTAAGTCAGAGCCAGAAAAGTACCATTATAGTCATGCAAATCATATTGATAAGACTTAATCCCAATTAGCAAACATCATCTCCAACATGTTGAATCTCACATAGACACATGTGAAATGAGGCACAGGATGCCAGATAGCAACTTTCATCTTTTTTTCTGAATCATTTTTATTAATTTGTATTTAAGTCAAAAACAATCTTATTCTGCATAACAATCCCAGTTCCCTCTCCCTTATGTCCTCCTAATTCCTCCACCAACCCCCCATGCCACCTGTCAGAATGCCTAAAATCAAAAACACTAATGGAAGCTTATGCTGGAGAAGATGTGGAGAAAGGGGACCACTTTTCCACTGCTGGTGGGAGTGTAAACTTGTACAGCCACTTTGGAAATCACTATGGCAGCTTCTCAAGAAAATGGAATTCAGACTAGCTCAAGATCCAGCAATTCCACTCAGGCATATACCCAAAGGATACACATTCAACAAGGACCTCTGTTCAGCTATGTTCATAAAAGTATTATTTATAATAGCCAGAACCTGGAAGCAACCTAGATGCCCCTCAACCAAAGAATGCCCCTCAACCAAAGAATGGATAAAGAAATTGTGGTATATTTACACAATGAATACTCCAACTGGGAAAACAAAAACAAATGAAATCTTGAAATTTGCAGGAAAATGGATGGAACTAGAAGAAACTATTCTGAGTGAGCTTACCCAGGCACAGAAAGACAACATGGTATGTACTCACTCATAAGTGGATACTAGGCTTAGAGCAAAGGATAACCAGCTGACAATCTACAACCCCAGAGAACCTTGTAAACAAGGACATCCCTAAGAGTGACATACATGGATCCCCTGAGAAGTATAAAGGGACAAGTCCTTTTTTCTTTAAACCATTCAAGTATTCATTTTAATTTAAATTAGTGTTTCTCCTAGTTCTCACACAAAAGACATCATTAAAGTGAGATTGACCAGGGATTTTCTTCTTCAATAAAAATGACATCAATTTTAACTGTCTGAAGTATAAGAAGTAATAATCTGGTGGCTTATATTTTTCATTAGCTCTTAATGAATATCCTGACCAATCAGGCTAGAGTTGTCATGTACCACATGGATCTAGAAAGCTCAGAAGTACATACAACAAAATCCAAAATTCCTGATTCATTCATAGTCTTTCCAATATTAATGAATCCCATCATGGCTGAAACTTCCCATCTGACTCCAGAAAGGCCATAAGGCACATCAAATGTAGAATATACCATTTGCCTCTACTTTGAAGCCAAGAGTTTATTTTCTACTGTAGTTTCTCTCCGTTCTATTCTGAAAGTTTACTACTGGTCACATATGGCTATTGTGAACCATAAATCTAGGAATAACACAGCTACAAGAGGCATCTCAGGAATGTTTCAGTGATTTGATTAGAAATAAAAGGAACATTATTTTTTCTCCTACTTTCATAGAAATAAAACAAAACAAAAAAGCATTGCTGTGCCTAGAGCCTTGTTCATGACATAATTGGGATCCATTAGGCTGGACTCTAGAATGCTTTTTATTTTATTTTATTTTATTTTGGATTTTCAAGAAAGGGTTTCTCTGTGTAGCTTTGGAGCCTATCCTGGAACTCGCTCTGGAGACCAGGCTGGCCTCGAACTCACAGAGATTGGCCTGCCTCTGCTTCCCGAGTGCTGGGATTAAAGGCATGTGCCACCAACACCTGGCTAGAATGCTTTCTTAACTAGGATCCAAAATGAATTCAAATGTCTCAATTGACAATGGTTTTATATCATTGATGTTTTATGTTCTAAAGAGATACAGACATGAAAACTTTCATATATGAATCTGGGGCATCATGTATGTCAGCAATGATATCCATAATTACTTTGGTGGTATGCATGGCCATTATAAGGAATTCATGTGAATACTGGTATTCCATCTAAAACTAGAATAATAGCAAATATAATTCTCTGCTAAGGATCTATGAATGACACTTTGGTTCCAACTACAGGGATTGTTATACTTCAAATATATTCTCTGATGTTCCATTATTTTAAAGCAGTTCTCAGAGTAAATGACAATCTTCAGGCTTCTCTGTATCTCTAAAATTTAAAAACCACTAGATGGAAAGCTAAGGTCACAGAGAAGAAAAAAAAGAATTTTATTATCTTGAGAGCATCATGCAATGAATTATTTTCTTAATTATATTTCATACCTTTCACCTTTTGTACAAACATGGAGTGTTGTTGGCCAACCTATATTCTAATGCCTTGATTTATTTGTTTCACCAAGATTTTTCCATACATATGTTTATGCTTATCTTAGAACAGAATAATTTACTTCTATGCAAGTCTTCTCATTAACTTACCTAATGACTCAATTGGAGCATTGTTATGATAAATCTTTCTGCCAAAAGCCTCCTGAGCACCACCACCACCACGTGTGTGCTTTATGTCAGCCGCCCACCCGAGTTAGGCCCAAATGAACACACAGAAACTTGTATTAGGTTCAAAGCTGCTTGGCCAATGACTGGGACTTCTCATCTGTTAGCTTAGTCTTAATTATCATAAATCTATATATGTTATAAGACTTATCTTATCGGGCGCATTATTGGCGTCCCTCCTTGCTGGTGGATCACATTGTGCCACTGGAGCAGGAGCGGAGGGGAAAAGAGGGATGCTTCCTGTTTCTCCTTCTTTATATATGAGTCTCCTTCTATGTCACTTCCTGCCTGGATCACCACTTTTCTACTACATTTCCCAGAATCCTCTTTGACTCCTAGTCCTGCCTAGCTTGCTGTTTCATTGGCCAAACAGAACTTTATTAAACAATCAATAAGATAAACATACACAGAAGTACTTCCCCCATCAGAGCATTGAGTACATAATAGATGTACTGAACAGTGCCAAGAACAGGGTTCCTTTTCATGGAATAATGAAACATTCTTCTACAATTCAATATGATGTTGATTGTGGGTTTTCCCTGGTGTTTTTTTTTTTCCTAAAAATGAATGTTTCCAATCATGTAAGACTTTTGTGATGGGCCAAGTAATATCTCTCCATCTATTGTGATGTTAATAGATTTTCATATTTTCTCTGTAGATATCTGTATTATATTACGTGAATTTTACTTATTGATGCAATTTGTGTACCAGTGCACTTTTATGTAGGTAAAGCTATGTAGAGGCAGAGGAAAGCTCAGATACTCTTCCTTAATGACATCTTAATTCAACCTTTTTCTCTGTTTTTGTTATTTTTGTGACAGGCTCTGTCACTGGTCTGGAACTGTCTGTACTGGCCAGACAGTAAGCCCCACAGATATATCTTTCTCTGTCCTATAAGAGCTGGGGTTACAGCATTGTCATGCTTTCCTGCATCAGGTTTAGTTTTTAAATACATTCTAGAATCAAATACTTTGCCCACTGTCTTTGTCACTATTGTCTATTGATGTGAAGAGACACATGACCAAAGATAAAATCAAGCATTTAATTATGGGGGCTTGGCTACCATTTGAAATGTTCCATCTGTTTTTATCATGATGGGAAGCTTGGGGGCACACAAGGCATTGAAACAGTAGCTGAGAGCAATATCCCAGTCTGCAGGACAAAAGAGAGACTTGTCTGGCAAGAATGCCTCCTAATCTTTCTAATACATTCAAAGAATTATACTGACTAGTCAATAAACATTCAAATAGATGAGCCTATTGGGGTAATACTCATTCAAATCACCAAACCAACTGGTATATCTCCTCAGCCCTTTGTAGCTGAAGTTTTATTGTGAGATGTAGTTTCCACCATTGGTCACTGGCCTGAGATAAACAGTTAATTTTTCTTGTTGTATAATTATGTATACAAGCATTATGTATTGATAGTCATCAGAAATTTTAGTGTATGACTTTTTTATGTCATCTTTGTCTATTTTTGATAAATGATGTTGACATCAGAGAAGGAAGCTGTTCTCATTTTTTCAATGATTGATAATAATCCTGCCACCAATTTTTAGCATAATTCAGTAGTCAATCCATTTTGGGATTGGCTTGTTAGGGGCATATGTCCATTTGAATGTAATCTGCCCTCACAAGATCATAAGGAGTGTAACTATTAGGAGGTATGACTTTGTTGGAGTGGGTATGGTTTTGTTGGAGGAAGACTGTCAATGCTGAAGCAGGCTTTGAGGTTTCCTCTGCTAAGGATGCCACCCGGTGTCTCATTCAACTTCCTAATGCCTGAAATATGTAGGGTTCTGAGCTGCTACTCCAGCACCACATCTGCCTGCATGCCACCACGCTCCCTATAATGATAATAATGGACTAAACTTCTGAAACTGTAAGCCAGGCCCAGTTAAATGTTTTCCTTTGTAAGATTTGCCATGCTCCTGATATCTCTTCACAGCAAAAGAAACCCAAACTAACACAGGGAATATATTTTTGATCATGTCTTGATAGATTATATTTTAGTTATACTATTTATTCAATTTTGAGTCAGATTTTTGATTTCTTTCCTTGTATCAACTTCTCAGTTTTATCCAAACAATTTAGTTTATCTTCATACTGTTGACATTATCCTTTTCATTTTTGTAAGGTCCTTTAATATGTTTGCTTTCATTAACTTGTGCCTTTTCTCTCTCAGCTACTATTTTTTCTTGATAATTCTAGTAGTATGCCAGTGATGTTCAAATCCTAATGACTTCCTTTAAAATGGTATGCAAATTTTGTCATTCACCAATTCATTATCTGATTTTGTTTTATGGTAAATTTAATTTAAGTTTCTCTTTGTAGAGTTTTTGGGAAAAGGAAAGGTAATAGGTAAGGTAAAATTGAATAGGGTAAGACAATATTTTCTATTTATATTTACCTATTGTTGTAGTATATATTGCTAATACTTCAAATTTATTTCTTTATAACATAAAAATGATTTTGGTTCTTCATGGTGGGAAATAATCATACACAATTATACACATGCCTGTATTATAAATGTGTACATCTTAGATAGTTATTTCTTTGGTATTTCTGTTAAAATTCTAAGTAACCAATGTTTATCTTACACTTTGAAATTGAAACACAATTTGAGTGTAAGAAAATAGCTATAATGGCTTCTTGGTTCATATAATCAGAAACGACGTCCTTCTCTGTCAAAGTGAGCTTACTTCTGCTTAAATGTACTTACTATTACAATATCAAATTTCTTTTCTATCATTTACATCTGTAATGTATTGCTTTGTTATACTACTTTTCTCAATGGGAAGGTTCAGTGCATTTTGCTAGAGAGCTTATGAATAGCATTAAGGAATGATGGGAAAAACATCCTTTCTAATTCCTCTCAGAAGTTAATTGAGGAAATTACATTATTTGTAAATATTTGGTGTTAGACAGGTTAATTTTTATCACTAGTTATCATGTATTAGTCATCCACTTACATTATTTGTAAATAAATAATTTCCAAAGAAAGAAAAAATAAGCTTTGGCAATAATAAAGTAAAAAGCAGAGACATGGAGTGGTCACAGTGGCCACTGTATTATCTGGATGCAAGTAGTCAAGCAGTCTGGTGAAAAGCATCCTGACACTTGCAGGCATACATACTGCACATGCCCCATTATCTCTCTAGATCTCACTGAATCCTAATGGATGTCTTAAGGACAATTCCTTCCTTTACAGCTGTGCTATGACATATTATGTTATGATGTTTACTGGTTCTTAACACAAGTAATTGAAGGCAGTTGTGAAACTCTCATTTCTGTGGATCTGTGAAGTAGTTATAGATTGTAACATTCAGACCCATTTAGCCTTCTGATAAATGCTTACAAACAGGATGGGTAAATTTCAAAAAGATCTTTAGTTTTCCCTGGAAAATGTTTACATGACCACAACATAATAATAAAATATGGTTATCTGCTGTACAGATTAAGAAAAATGGAGGTTAATTTTTATGTCACTAGTTGTAGTGTTGAATGGTTTGAAAGGCATTTAATTACATAACAAAACTTAACCAAAAATCTGCAGCAGATTAGGATTAACAAAATGATGCTACCCACAAATCCACTATACTTTACTGAAATCTTCAACATGCCCTTGATTCTTACTAACACAACATATCAACTCTGAGCTAATTGTAGAACAGACTGTCTCTTGCAAACTTCCCCAAGGTAACATCAACTGGACAAAGTGATAGACTGCCAGCTTTCATTTGATAGTGGCTTAATAATCAGAATATACAATAGACTAAAAATTTTGAATGAGTAATTCAACCAAGAAATGATGCAATTGGAACTGAGAAATTTTCAAATAAATAAAAACCACCAACCAATGAATAAAACCAAGAAATGATGGGAAATGAGTTGAACATTTTTCAAATGAAGAAGTACAGTAACCAATCAACACATGAAAAAAATTTCAGAAGCTTAACCATAAAATAAATGGACATCAAACTACAATTATTTCAATCAGAAAGGAAATATCATCAAGAAATCAATTATCATCAATAAATCATCAAGAAAACCACAAGTGCTGATGACATGGCAGGGGCATGTGAACAATATTAAGAGCTTATTTAGATAAACCTTACAAAAATCAATATGAATCATTACTTTAAAACCAAAATTATAAATTTACATTTTCTTCATTCACAGCTCTTCTGGGTATACAATGAAAAGAATCCAAGTTAGTTTTCCTCAGAGACACTTTAAACCTGCATAATCATGTCTATTTTAGCACTGTGCAAAATATCAGCCTAGTTGTAAATCCACAGAGAAGTGGATAGAGGAAATGCAACATCTGCAATATGTGCATATTTCCTAATCAAGAAAGAATGGGAAGTTATATATGGATGGAGATATTCATGTGCAGTGAAATAGGTTGGTATTTGAAAGCTGTCCTTTCTCATGTGTGAAACTCAGTGGGGTAATGATATAAAATCACAAAAGGGAAATAATACACATGTGGAGGAAGAAATGGAAGAGTGAGGCATGAAAATGAAGGTGGAGGAGAGAAAAGAATGAGTAATAGAGGAAAATGAATATGATCATAGAATATTATATGTAAATATAGAAATGTCCTAAGGAGAACTCGTATTTTATAGTTAATGCATGATAATAAACAAAACAGCCCCAAGCAGCAATTGAGTCATCCACAGAGATATATACTTTGTTAAGTAATGGAAATTTTCTTTTTCTTTTATTTCTCTAAATCACCAGTTTCTACAATAGATCTTACCAATAGAATATATACAATTAAGTTTGAATAAATCAATTAGCATCTGTAGTCCCAGTCCTGAGAGACAGAGAGAATCCTGTGGTCACCATGGGTTGTATGTCTAATTCAAGACCTGACAGAGCTTTATGTCAAAATTTCATTTCCCAAAACCCCAAGAGCCTGTGAGATAGTCAAGAGTAGAGCCATTGACTAAAATGTTCACAGTTTGAACCCCAGGACCACAAAAAAGGGAGGAGAACTGGATAATGTTACTCTTTTCATAAAATTCTGAAATTAATTCTTAATTCAAATCAATGATATGCAAC